TCCCCCTCCCCCTCCCCCTCTCCCCCTCTCCTCCCTCCCTCCCTCTCTCACTCTCTCTCCCTCCCTCTCTCACTCTCTCCCTCCCTTTCTCACTCTCTCTCCCTCCCTCTCTCACTCTCTCTCCCTCCCTCCCTCTCTTACTCTCTCTCCCTCCCTCCCTCCCTCTCTCACTCTCTCCCTCCCTCCCTCCCTCTCTCCCTCTCTCTCTCCCTCCCTCCCTCCCTCCCTCCCTCCCTCCCTCTCTCACTCCCTCCTCTCCCTCCCTCTCTCACTCCCTCCCTCCCTCTCTCACTCCCTCCCTCCCTCTCTCACTCCCTCCCTCCCTCTCTCTCTCACTCCCTCCCTCTCCTCCTCCCTCCCTCCCTCCCTCCCTCCCTCCCTCCCTCTTCACTCCCTCCCTCCCTCTCACTCTCTCTCCCTCCCTCTCTCACTCTCTCTCCCTCCCTCTCTCATTCTCTCCCTCCCTCTCTCACTCTCCCTCACTCCCTCCCTCTCTCATTCCCTCTCTCCCTCCCTCCCTCCCTCCCTCTCTCACTCTCTCCCTCCCTCCATCCCTCCCTCTCTCCCTCTCTCCCTCCCTCTCTCTCTCCCTCCCTCCCTCCCTCCCTCTCTCTCTCACTCCCTCTCTCCCTCCCTCTCTCACTCCCTCCCTCCCTCCCTCTCTCACTCCCTCCCTCCCTCTCTCTTTCACTCCTTCCCTCTCCCCCTCTCCCTCTCTCACTCTCCTTCTTGTTGCTCTAACTACACGTCCCCGAATTGAACAACAGGCTGTAAGTAACATACCTGCATTGGTAAGGATTAATTTTGAGTGATGGCTAACCATTCAGTTATAGAAATGTGTACTTGATTAAGGATATCAGTTAGATTTTTTTGAATATTAAGAACATTTGATTTTTTAAAATTGTTTCAGTATACCGATTTGTATATTTAGCAATTAAGTAAATAACAAATAATTATGTTGACTTTAATTTTATCAGCTTTAGGGCAGATTACATTTTTTTTTTATTATACAGTGAATATAGAGAACGGTTCTGTGCACAATTATGCTTTTTATAATATTCTTTTACCTAGTTTTGTTACTGATTTTTTTTGTAATGTTTAAGACTCATTTGCTCAAAACTATATTTTTCGTAGATTCTTTTGGATAAGTGCATTTTTTGTGTATGTAAATGAGTTTCAAAAGGGATATTTTTTTATGAATCTCATAATGGCCAGTGAAGCAACTTCATTGATACTTGGGTATTACTGTTATTCTATTGTAAAATCTGCTTTGTTATCAGGTGTCATTTTCTAAGGTTCCATCCAGTAGAAAGGGCAGTGCCTGTCGGGCAAACTGCAACCAAGTAATGTTCCAAACCAACATTTAGAAGGTGGTTGTTTACCACTATGGTCACTATCTCACCACAGCTTGGTCTGTCGTGTGCCCTGTGGTAGCTGATGGCCACTGGGAACTGCTTGATCTGGTCACACTGCTAAACATGGTGAAATATCCTCTCACTGGCCATAATATGCATTTGTAGGCATTCCTGCATTATGTTGTTATTCTTTTGTATGTAATCCTTGTCAGCATTTATGTGTCTCTTAACAAAGTACCAAGACATACTGAAAAGTTCAGTAAGATAACTTTGTGCTTTAATATTAGATATACTTTAATTTTTCTTTGTATAGTTTGGTTACTTACAAATGGTTACTGATATGTTATATTATGTTAATTTTTGTAATACAAATTTCCTGTTTTGTGTACCCACAATTTTTTCCAGACAATTGATATCTAGTCTTACTCTAAAGGAGCAATGGTTACGCAGTACCTAAAAGTTGATGCATTTTTTATTTTGTTAATTTGGGTTACAGCTGACACAGGTATGACATAGATTGGGTATGTATGCATTATTTACTTGTATATGAACAAATAATGGCTAGTCTAGGTCCTTTTGGAAAATAACAAGGTCATACAAGTAGCCAACGGTAGTATGAGCTTATACTACATTGAATCTCTAGTTAGGTATTAATTTTTTTCACACAAACATTTATTTATTAGCATAGGGTCTGAGGAGAGATTTTTTGTTGTTATCACAAGATGAAATGCATTCTTAGGGATCTCAAGAATATACATGTTATGTATTTTGCTATATCCTAAAGATATGAAGGAAATATGCCTCAATTAAAACTTATTCGCCTATTAATATATTTACCATTTGAACTACTGTAATGCATAGTCCTGTATTTTGCTATTAAATTACTAGAAGACATTATATGTTTTTTTTTTATTATTCCTTTTTTCCTCTTTCCAGCTGTTTTAAAATATATAGCTGAGGAGGAATTCACAGTTCAAGTGAGTCAGGTGTCAGCTGTTTTGTCTACTAATGCAGATATTCCAGTGCAAATAACTGATGGTTCTTTCACTTGAGAGGACATATATATCTTATATAAAGGTACTTTTTATGAAGATAGCAGCTTACACTAGACATATAAAGCTTCCTCTTTAAAAAAAAATATGCAT